TTCATCTTACTGCCAAAAAAAAGAGAACCACAAAGTTTGCGACTCAATAAAAAAAAAAAAAAAAAAAAAAAAAAAAAAAGGAAACTGTAGATTATGGTGACATTCTATGAACAATTTGTGTCATACTTGACCCAAAACAGTAAGATTAGGGCTTTGTTTTTTGTAAGCTGATCTATTGCAAATGGCAATCATGTGTCAGATAGGGTGAATTCTCTATTTCGATTATTTTTTCCCCTTCTTTGAATTGTTTAGGTTTTTGATTCTCCTAATGCATGAGCTGAGTAGAGGAAAAACTAGGATGAACCAGTCCTAACGCGTCTCCCTGTGGGCAGTACTTAAGTTTAAACATGATTTGCAAAGTACGTATGTTTTTGTAGCCGCTATATTGTAGAATATATCTCATTGGCTATTTTTTGTTGTGGGGAAATGGCAGCAAACGATGTTGTTCTGCATCTAATGGTCCTCAGGAACACTGTGTAAGCGTGTGGTAGGTATTGTGGTTGTATGTGCAGCCAGACCGCTCTTCCTTCATGTCTGCATCTCAAATGTGTCATGTTTTCCACTTCATCTGGCGTTGGCAGGTGATTCCCGACGGGACAGATGTTGTGATCTCCTTTAAAGTATCTGTCATTCAAGCAGCCCAATGTTCCTACTGCACTTTAAAACAAACTGCCAAAACTTTAAGCCGGGTCAGCAGGATGTGTGTGTGACGGAGTGTGTTCTGGTTTGCCCAAACCATCATGCAAAACTAATCTCGAGTGCAAATTCTGCAGCCGAATTTCTGAACTGGTGTCTGAGTTGAGGTATTTAAATGCATGGAAAATGCAGATTTTTATACTTCATAGCATAAAAAATGTGTTCAATAAGATGTCTGTAGACATTACGTTGATTGAAGAGCCACACTAACAGCTGTGAGGACAGATTTTTTTTATATTTTCCTGGAGTATGTTTGCGTTTGTCTTGTGAATGGAAACATTTGTATTTTTTGGGTTTTTGGTGCTCAGCCCCTTTTAGATTATAATCATGTCTACATGTACCACAGATAAAGCAAAAAAAAAAAAAAAAAAACACAAGAAACCCCAAGAAGTGCTTAAAAACTTGTAGAATGTTATTGGAAATTATTTGGACATTTAATTAGGAATTAAAGTTAATTTATATTTTCATGACAATTATGTTTTTCCTCTCAGCATTAAAATTATGTATTTAAGGATGAACAAAAATCCCAAATGACCTCAAGTAAGACATTGCTGTAATTGAAATTATAAATAAAAAATGTTTTTCAGTTTGTGTGCAGCTTTTGGTTTCAGTTAGACTGGGATGGATGTTTCTGTCTCCACATTGATTTTACTAGAAATACTGCATTAATTCTCAACATTTTTGGACTAATTTTTTGTGGTCATACGTTTTGGTTTCTGTTTATGGCTGATTCTTAATCTTCTTTATAATTATAAAACACTTTTCCTGCCACTAAGGCTGTAATTAAGTTGTTTACTCCCCATGGCTTTTTTTTTTTGACGACTTAGGCTACAGAAGATAAAAACCCCAAACCTTTCCAGAAAGTTAAAGTTTTACATAAGACCAATAAAAAGAAGTTGTCACTGAAGAAGCCAATTGAGTCTAGTGATGAACCCAAGAATATTAAAGGAAAGTTGAGTGGAAGGAAAATGCATGGCAGAAAAAAGTTTAAATGTAATAAAGGGAAACGCCCTTCTGATGGTTTTGAAGCAAAGATTTTCCAATATACATTTTTGACATGCTATCTTTAA